GTGGTGCTGCGGCCCCGCCGGCCGCGGCGGGCAGGCGAGAGCCGCGAGGACGAGGAGGAGGAGGAGGACGGCAGGAAGCGCAACCGGGCCTCGTGGATCGACCCACCCGAGGAGGACTACTCTGCGCAGCTCACGCAAGCCGAGGTGGAGAGCTGCATGAAGAAGTACGAGGTGAGGGGGTGCCGCGGGACGGGGGGCTCAGGCCCTGGCACGGGGGAGAGGAGCAGCCGGGAACGCTGTCCTCACCGGGGCTGTCCTAGAGTGGTGGAGAAGGGACCATGGCTGGGGTGGCATGGGCTGCGAGACAGTCCCGAGGGGTGTCAGGCCCCCCCGTGCCCACTGTGCCACCCCTGCCCGCTCCCCAGGACACATTCCAGGACTACCAGGAGATGTTCATCCAGTTCGGCTACGTGGTGCTGTTCTCCTCCGCCTTTCCGCTGGCCGCCACCTGCGCCCTCATCAACAACATCATCGAGATCCGCAGTGACGCCTTCAAGCTGTGCACGGGGCTGCAGCGCCCCTTCGGCCAGCGGGTCGAGAGCATCGGGCAGTGGCAGGTGAGCTGGGGCCTGGTTGCGGGGTCCCTGCGGGGTCCGTGCGTCCCAAGCTGCCGGGATTCCCAACCCTCAGCCTCCCTAACAACCCCCCCGTGTCCCGCGCTGGTCCCGGCACAGCCTCTCCCTCTGCTCCGGGCTGTTTCCCAGCTGCCGTGCTCCACCCCAGAGGTGGCTGCCAGCTTGCATTGGAGGAGGTGACCGTGTCTGCTTTGCAGAGGCAGCCGAGCGAGGCACGGGATGCGAGTGCAAGCACCCGGGTTCCTAGGTCACCGCAAGGCCGGGGTGCAGACCCACCCTGCGTGTACCCGGCAAGGACAGGGAGGGCTGGTTGAGCCTGCACAACTTGTTACTGGGGCAGGGTGTCTCCCAGGAAGAGCATCATGAGGGTGGCGCTGCCTGTCCTGCCTGGCCTGGGGATCTCCCCCCTCTCCAGGCCCTCCAGGGGCATGGGAAGGGGTCTGGGGGCAGCCGGCGGAGTGGGGGATGAGGGCACATCTCACCCCAGCCCTTCTCCCTTGCAGAAAGTGATGGAGGCCATGGGCGTCCTGGCCATCGTGGTGAACTGCTACCTGATCGCCCAGTGCGGCCAGCTGCAGCGGCTCTTCCCGTGGCTCAGCCCCGAGGGAGCCATCATCTCTGTGGTGGTGCTGGAGGTATGGGGACCGGTGGGGGCTGTGGCCCCTGTGCCCCCCAGCACCTGCTGCGGGGCCAAGCCCTGTCCTCACCGCAAGTTTGCACCTGGGTCCCGGGGCTGCATATGGGGCTGTTGGTATGGGGGCTCCCGGCCTCCTGCCTGTCGTTTTAGGGGCTCCCCAGCTGCTGCCAGCTGTTCAGTTCAAGCAGGCACTGCATTGCCTTGGGGGCGTGGAAGTGCCCTGGGGATGGAGGGCAGGAGGTGGGCCAATGGGGGGGGACTCTGCACTGGCCGCGTGGCACTCTCTGTGGACTTCAGGGGTGCTCCCAGGGCACCATGGGAGCTAACGGGGCTCTCACTCCCCTGTCTCCTCGCCCCGGCAGCACTTCGCCCTGCTCCTGAAGTACATTATCCAGGTGGCCATCCCGGACATCCCAGCCTGGGTGGCGGAGGAGATGGCCAAGCTGGAGTACCAGCGCAGGGAGGCCTTCAAGGTGAGTGCGGAGCCATGGCATGCAGACTAGGACGGACACCTGGGGATGCACGGATGGGAGCGAGCTGGGGGGTGTCAGGGATCCCCAGCTTGGCTACCGGCAGCGGGCAAGGTCAAGTCCAAGCCAACCCTGCCTGACACCCCCATGGGTGAATGCAAAGGAGATGCCATGATGGGAGCAATGTGGTGGGGGGGTTCAGAGGAGCTGGCCATGCCCCTGCCCCTGCCCCAGGGTCACCGGGAGCTCTGCCCCGCTTGCAGAGCCGTGGGAGCCCCCACAGCAGCCCCCAGTCCTAACTGCTTCCCTCCTGCCCCAGAAACACGAGCGGCAGGCGCAGCACCACTTCCAGCAGCAGCAACGGCGCAAGCGGGAGGAGGAGGAGCGGCAACGCCACGCCGAGTACCAGGCCCGCAAGGAGCGTGAGGCCAGCCGGGACGAGGGCCGGCCCGAGGCCGCCGGGCAGGACCCGGCCCACGACAAGGGTCCGGCCAAAGCCAAGGGCCCCGGGGGCGCCTCCCACGGCACCGACAAGCCCAAGCGGCCCAGCTCCCTGCTGGCCACCAACAACGTCATGAAACTCAAGCAGATCATCCCGCTGCAGGGCAAGTTCCTGTCCGGCGGGGCGGGGGCGGCCAGCACGGCCACGGCGCGGTCCCCCCAGTCCCCGACCGGCAGCGACAACAAGCTGCCCGGCTTCCTCAGCTTCAAGTTCCTCAAGTCCCCGGAGACGAAGCGGGACGGGGGCACGGAGAAGGTGCAGTCGCCCACCAAGCCCTTCAACCCTGGCAAGCTCTTCAACTTTGGCAAGTCCGAGGGGGCTGGGGGCAACGGTGCTGCCGCGGGGGGCACCCCCCTGCCGTCGCGGCCCGGCCCTGCCGGGGAGGGCATCGAGAAGCAGGTGCCCAGCAGGTCCCACCTGAATGGGGTGGTGGACGAAGGTGGGCACGAGGAGGCCGAGCTGCGGGCCGAGGAGGAGGGCGCTGGCCCCAAGCTCTAACCGGGGCCACGTGCCCGTTGCCCTCGGGGCTGTTCTTCAAGCAGGGCGCTAGGGCCAGGGATGGAGACCGAGGGGAGCTGGGCGAGCTGCTGGGCATGGATTCCCCGCGGATCACTCGGGGCTTTCCCCCCCGTCTCAGCTGAGCCCCGCGCCGGCTGCACCAAGGGCTGTGTGTGTGTGTGCGTCCGTCCGTGTCCGTGTGGGTGCAAACCCCCAGTGATCCCCGCGGGCAATCTGCCTGCACGTGGCCGGGGAGGGAGCAGTGGGTGCCCGAGGCTGCCGGAGCAGGATGGGTGTGCCGTGCTCCCCTCCTGCCCTCCCTCCAGGGCAGGGGCCTGGGCTTGGAGGCTGGGGCTCCCCATGCCCAGCGCCTCCCCGATCGCTCCAGGGGCCCCTGTGTTGGGGCAACCTCATCCCAGGCCTTAGCCCCAGAGCTGCGGCCGTTCCCCAGCGCGGGGACACAGCTCTGCTTGAAGAACAGCCGGGGCGGGGGCAGGACGAGCCCTCTCCCCCATGCATGGTCGACTTTCTTGCACTAAGACACCCCCCACCCAACTCTATTCCATTCTTCTTGCCATGGCTGCAGCCGGCCTGCGCTGCTACCTCCGAGGTAGGCGAGGGTCGTGCCGTGCCAGGCCAGGACAAGGCACCTCCTGCCTCCAGGTCTCCACTGGGACAGTCCCTCCGCCCTTCCTGCTTTTCCTTTTGCTGGGGTTTTTTTGCAATAAGGAGCTCGCACCTGAGCTGGGGGTGGGGGGTGGTGGGATCCGCTGTCTGGGAAGCAGTGTGTTAGGAGCAACCAAAAACTTTGGGGGGATGTGGAGCAGGGAGGGAGGGGGGTGGGTCTGGCTTTGATTCTGCTGTAGCTAGCGGGAGCTTTACCGAGGCTGGCAGGGCAGAGCTGAGCCTTGGTGCGGGGCTGGTTCGTCTCACCTGCACAACGCCAGGGAGAGACAGCTCTGCGAGCACCAGCGCCCAGGTCGGTGGTGCCCTGGATGGGGCCGGGGTCCAGTCCCAGGCTGCAGGGTGGGTTGAGCGAACGCTGCTTATTTCCTTACCGCTGATACATAGCTGATGCCCCCGTGCCCATTTCTCCCAGGGCAGCAGCGCTTCCAGCCTCCCCCCAGCCCCAAGTTGCTGTGGTGTCTTTGAATGCCCCCCTGCCCTGGAGCTGAGCCACGCACCCCCCACCTGCAGGGCAGTGGGAGCCTTTCTAGACCCGGGGGCCAGGAAACTGCGTGGGGGTTTCTGCGCGTCTCCCACCGGCCAAGGGGGCGTTTGTCTGAGCACAAAGCTATGCATTGCAGCAATAACACGGGCAGGGGCGTGGGAAGGGCAGGGGTCTCCCCTTTCCCATGCAGCTGCCCCCTCCCACTGGAGACTCGGGCCTTTGGGCCAAGGAGTGCAGAGAAGGGGGAGCTGGATGGCAGGAGATCCCACCTGGGGCTGCAAAGCAGCCCAGGGTGGGGCATGGCACAGGCTGCGCAGAGGAAATCAGGGTGCACCCAGAAGTGATGGGGAACCGCTGTTGAGATGCTACAGGAGGGCTGAGCCTGGCTCTTCCCCGCCAGGCCTACAGCTCGTGCCCCGCAGCCAGCAGGATGCTTTCCTGGGGAGCAGAGCAGAAAGATAGTTCCCCCTTCCCCTGCCATGACCCTGACCCCCTCGCTGCCGAGGGGCTCCTGGCTCAAGTCCCAAAGATCCTGCCCTGCAGCTGGAGGGGCTGAAGGAGCCGGTCTGGGGGCTCGGCTCAGCTCCATTCCCCCCTCCTCGGCTTTGTTTTTTGGCCCCCCCGAACTCTGGCCACCCACGCTCAACAATCGCTCTGCCATCGCACCGGTTTTCAGGGAGAGAGCTCCCCTGCCTGCCCCCACCCTCCCCAGGCGAAGATGGCAGGCACCGGGTGGGGGTCCTGGCTGCTGCCAGGCCCCCAGCCCAGCCCAGGGATTTTTAAGCGCTCCCCTACGCAAAGCATTTCCACCCTGTCCAGCCTGTAGCGCCTGCCTCTGGGGGGGCAGCGACTGTACGCGGGGGGCGACGCGGTCATAAACAAAGCACCGATTCCTTTCTGCCGTGTTCTGTTTCTTTTCGTCGGAATCAAGGAGACAAAAAGAAAAAGGGGATTATTTATTTCTTTTTAATTTATTTTGTCATATTTTTGTAAAACCTGCAGAAATGCAATAAAAATATATTTCAACAGAGCTGGGGCTCTCCGCCTGCTGCCTCAACCCCCTGCCCTGGGGTGGCCCCACCAGCTCCCGTCCCCAGGCCAGTGCCATGAGCGGGGAGCCCCAGCTGCTCCCCATGACGCCAGGCAAGAGCTTCCAGAGGTGACAGCACATATGGGTTAAGAGCCCAGGGGGATGCAGAGCTGCAGGGGCCTTTGTGATCACTGCACGAGACCCCTCGCCCCCGTGGTAGGGTGGGACTTTTAGGGGAAAGAACAGATCTCATGGGAAGTGGTAGCACTGACCCCTTCCTTCGCCCCATAGCAGGGTCCTGGTGGCTCCAGCCCCAGGGAAGGGCACTGCCCCCTGTGCTCAGCTCCAGCGGGAGGGTTTTGGCCTCCGTGAACCGCAGCATGACGCCCCAGGGGCCTCAGCCCCGTCATACACAAATGTGATGCTTCTTCCCTGCCCTCTCCCCGGCAGGGCAAAGGCCTCTAGGACTTGCATATCCCCGGGGTCCAAGGACGGCACAGAGGCCCCTGCGAGCAGCCACCAGCTCGTCTGTCTGCCTCTACCAGGACGTTTCTACTCTGAACTTTGCGTTCCCTGACGTGAGATATCCCAGATCATGGGGCTTTGCTCAGCATTTCAGTTCCAAGTTCAAATGAGCCCGGCAGAAGAGCCATGCTCGTTTGATTCCTGTTATTCTGCCCCCTGCTCACATACCTGATCAACAGGGATCCTGGTTTTCTCTGATTTAAAAAGAAAACCCCAATTTTCGTTTTTAAAAAACAAGCAAGCTCAAATCCACATTTGTCCACGATTAAAATGAAACACCACTAATGTATAGCTATATCTATACATTAGTGGTGTTTCATTTAAATTGTAGAGAAATGTGGATTTGGGCTTACTTGTTTTAAACCAAAACTTGGGGATTTTTTTTAAATTGGAGAAAACCAGGATCCCTGGTGATCGAGTTATGGGGTTTAATGCATGGCCGACCTGTACCCCATGCACCGACTTCTCCAGTCACATTGGCAACTCCCTCATGCTCGTAAGGAAGGCAAAGAAAGAGAGAGCTCTAATCCTCTAAATTCTGCAAATTTATTATACACCGTATCAAACAGGAGTTTAAAAATAAATGCTAAAATCCAACAGCTGTGACATTTGTCGAGGACAGTGTATTTACAGTTACCCCTCAAGAACGCAGCCCACCCCCCGCCACGGACAAGGCGCTTTTCTGAAGACTACGGGGAAAGGTCGAGCTGGAACGTCCTTGTACAGAAACAGAAGGAGAAGCTGTAGGTACCGCGGGCCCCTAGGCGCACACAGGGAATGGTGGAAAGAAATCCTGGGATTTTGTACTCCACCCAGGCTGGACCAGACAGAGAAACAATTTGGGATGGCTAGAAAGATAAGGCCCAGCCCCAGACATTCAGCTGTCACATGCGACTGACCTAGTCGGCTACACAGATTAGTCCTAATAAAAAGCCTGGTAAAGCTGTAACAATACATTTTGCACCACTAAGCAGAAAGAAATGTGTATCTGATAGTCCAGTCCAGCTGTGCCTGTATCTCGCACAGGGATACAAGGCAATGGAGCATCGCCAACTGCCGCTTCACACTTCACGACACTTGATATCAAATGTCAGGGGCTGGAACAGACCTCGCAAGATCATTGGGTCCAGCCCCCCAATAATATAATCGATTAGTCCTTGGCCATTTTCATCTGGACTTTTCTACAACCCCAGACAGACACCGTTAAGGAACAAAATACAGGGCTAGCCAGGGAAATAGCTTCCTCTTGTCTTCTTCCTCCTACTGCGCAAGTGTGTTGAAATAAATATGATGCTAGTAAATATTAACTGCTCAGGAATTAAAATATTCACATGCACACGTGCACACACGCTACTTATCCAAGCCAGAAAGAACAGCTGACTAACTGCATTGTTCGATATTGTTCCCCACAATGAAAAAAGCATTTTCTTAATGTTGACTAAGATCCTACAAGTTACAGCCCCTGCTATGTGCAGAACAGCAACAGGGACCAGGGACTAATGCAGCGTTTCTGGCCCTGGTAGCAATGAAGACTTGGCTAAGCTCCCAGCAAGATGATCTGGGTTCCCCTGCAAAGGCGAGGAAGCCAAAGCAGTAACTATATCCAAGGACGGCGCCGATTCACCTCCCTGGTATGCACAGCTCATTATTAAGGCAGCTTCGTCCTCCTAATGCCTTGGCTCTTGCAACCTGGGCATTCATTTCTCAGCCAAGGGAGCATGCTGGTAGGTACAGGAAAGCTGAGGACATGCATAAAACTCCATTTGCTATTGAGATGGGAACAGGATTCAACCCAGGCCTGGGGAGATGCAGGCTTCTCTCACCAGTCAATTGACCCAGCCAGCCACCTCCGCCAGCAGTTCGTCTCTTATCTGAATTCAGCTAAAGCTTGCCCATCCTACCTTTGGATCTCTCCTACCAATAAGCCATTCCCAAGTTACAGGGTTCAAGGTGAACTTGCTCATAAGAAGCTAAATTTCTCAGGGCTCCCTAAAAATCAGTAAGCATTTTCCCATCACCAGAATCACCTGGATGGCACTGGTCTGAATGGGAGTGCCACAAAATGAGTCCTTTTGCTGGCTGCGCTGGGGGACAGGGCAAGGGACGAGAACATGCTTTGCCCTGGAAAAGAGCTTTATTGCAAAAGAGGCTGCGATGGCCAACATCCAGCCGCCCCGTGCGCCGCGGTTCCCTGGTGCAGCCTAGGCTGCAGAGAGGATGAGACACCCAGGAGGCAGAGCTCCCTGCTGCTGTCAATGGTTAACCCAGGGAACAAGAGATCGTGGCATAAGCATACATGCAACACTAAGGACTAATGTATGTTCCAAGCAGCAGAAGAAAAGTCGTATCAGTGGGACAGCAATGGAAAAGCGCTAAGGGGTAACTCTGCTTTTGACCCCAGCAGAGGCCTTCACCACTCAGCCCTGAAGGCAAGGTGCTCACTCGAGATGCCTCTGAGGTTAGCCGAGCTACTCCAAGGACAGGTTAGCAGTTCTATTTCCCCAGCCTGCTGCTGAATCCTGGCTCCACCAAGCAAACAGTCCAAGTGCTAACCAGGGAATCGCTACGTAAGGCACAGGTCGTGAGGGCTGGAGAAAGACCAGCCAACAAGAT